ACTAAAGCTTCTGACAAAGATTCTCTACTCTTCAATATGCTCAGTAAATGATAAGATGAACACTTGCTTCTAGTAATATAGGCCGCTCCAGCTTTTCCTACCCCGCCTAATGCGTTTGCCCAAGTGAGGAGCTCCCAAATGCTTTAAGGTCATGTTTGTCAAACTGCGGGACACTTGTCCCAGGGAATGTACACGACAGAGTGATGGAACACATAAAGTCAATGGATAAACACTTTAGATATACTGAGAAAATACTTTTAAAGTTAAGTAAACAATTATGTTATGAAGCAGAGCACAAACTTCTGTTAATTACTAGGATAAAGCATAAAAATTCAAGTAAATGTTGGGCTTAGTGCAGTAGCCTTTTGCTATGGAACCCAGGCCTCAAGAGGCCAGCCTCTCTCCACTCACCTTTGAAGGGAAGTGGCTAAGTTCGAGAATCATTGCCTTAAGTGACTACCTAGGCCTCACTCCAGTTTATACCTCTGTTGTACATAAAAGGTAGGAGGCTATTACATATCTATGCAGCATATAATAAACTAGGCAATAATCTGTAAGAGATAAGCAACAAAATGACAGAAACGATATGTACATTTACTTTTAATTCTAAAAGCAGTAACTGTGTCCCCGCTAATTCAAAGCTTAGGCATAAATAAACCTAAGCATAAATAAAGATTAATAGTTAGTTCTTACTGCAATGTTTTAAAAATCAGGCACATGTACACTTTATAACTTCCAAGAAAATTAACCTGGTCCACTTAATGATACACATAATTTTGCACTTGCTGTTCCCTCTGCCTGGAACTCTCTTCCCTTCAGTTCTCTACACTACTGATTCCTTCTCAGGCTTCACACACACCTCTTCACAGAAGCCTTTCCTGACCATCCCCCTTCAGTCCCTCTATAAATGTTATTATCTTGTTTGTTTCCTTCAAAGTCATTACCACAATTTGTAGTTATCCAGTAACTATTTACTCTTTATCATTTGTGTGCTTCTTTCCAGCAGAATGGACTAGAACCTTGTCTGTCTTACTTATTGTCACATCCCCAATTCTACTGAGTGTCACTCAACAAATATTTTTCAGTGAAAGGCTGCTGCATGGTATTTAAAAATAAAGAAACAGGCATATCTCAAAGATTTTTAAAACTCTAAAAAAAAAAAAAGATTGTGGAGCTATTATAATCTGGCTCTCTTTTCTTACAAACCAAGAAACAAAGTGAGGTTCGGCAACTCCCCGAAAATCTTTTCAGGATTACCAGGTAAAGGTGAAGCCAGGACAAGTCTTTCTCCTCCCTGTCTCCCACACAAGGGAGCTTTCCAAACCAAGCTGTTACTTCCAGGCTTACTTTATGAGTCCTGCAGGATGTATAAACAGTGTTGAATACACATGAAAAACAATTATTTGCTTCTTTTTCCATCAAATGCCCTTTTTTCTTTTGCCCACTACAGTGGAGAAACCACATGCTACGGAGGTTGACCTTTGTGCCATGTGTAGAAGAGATGGAATACCATGACAATCCAATCCTGTTCTACAACATGGCCTGTGAGCCGTGCCTCTGCTGCTGACACAGCCAGAGGAGCTACCATATTCACTACAGAAGGTCACAAAGTGTATCTGAAACCAGGAGAAGTAAATCCCATATGCACGGATACCTCACACATCCAGAAAATAAATTAACTAATACATACTTCAGTAGCTAGATCTATTTTCCTCGATGAAGTCAAATTTAAGCTCCAGTGACCAAGAAAAAAAAATCCTATGAAAAGAGAAGGGTCACAGAAGCAAGTACCATAACAGTAGGAAGTCACTGCAAACTCCCAGAGAAGGACATGAAGACTGATTGATCTGCAATCAGTAAGCTCATTTAGTAAGCTCACAGGCAGGTAGCAGGTAACACCACATCTGACAAGAAAACCCTTCTCCTTAGGAAAACACAGGGATCACATACCACTTCTTTCTAACCTCCCGAATTATCAGAATATTTTGTCGTGGCTAGGCCAAAGCTCCTCCCTCCATGCAGCTGTACTCCACTGCCTGGAGTTCCCAAGCTGGAAGTCGGGGTTCAAAACTTACCTTGTCAGGATCCACGCACAGATGAACCCAGGCCACTCTCTAACCCTGCAACACAATGGCTGACTTGTCTTCTCTGGACCAGGGTGTTTTTATTATTTTGAAGTTAGCTGTTTCTTCATGTGTATTTGTCCACCTAGCCTATCATTTGCGAATGAAAGGTGACGGAGAGCCAGGACCCTGTCGGTTTAACACAAGACCTACCACTGATCTCTATTTTCCAATAGACAGAGTCTTGCACTGGACATGACAGAGTCTTGCTCCTGGACATGACAAGTGCTGAAATAAAACCCACACTTGGGCAGAACAGGTTTTTCTCTGGCCAAATTTCTCAATTGTAAAAATTAGGCCCCAAAATTACTGGTGCTATTTAAGACTGGCAAATCTCCCTTATGAATTCATCACATAAAACTCTTAATTCTGTACTTTAAAAAAGAACAAGAGATTAACTTTAAAACTAATGATGATAGTACCCAAATAGTATAAATCTAGAAATGGATAAAGTATCAATCCCATTAGTTACAAAGTTTAAAATATCTACCCAAGCATGGGATAAATATTATTAGGATTCAGTAGGTAACAGTATTTAAGAAAAAAAAAAAAAAAAACCATGCCAAGTGTGTATATAAAGCAATATTGAGAAACAGGTAAATGGCTTAATATTTTATCTTTACCCAAGAAAAAGTGCCTTGGTTAGCTCCCAAAGACTTCTCATAAAAACTAAAGCACATGCAGATAACTGCAATATCTTTATCTCAAGTTTCTTAAAACAAACAAAAACTTTGGTTACACATTTCAAAATTTTTTAATGTTTATTTTTGAGTGAATGAGTGAGAGAGAGAGAGAGAGAGAGAGAACATGAGCAGGGGAGGGGCAGAGAGAGAGAGAGAGAGAGAGAGAGACAGACAGACAGACAGACAGACAGAATCCAAACAGGCTCCGGGCTTGGAGCTGTCAGCACAGAGCCTCACGCAGGGCTCGAACCCAGGAACAGTGAGATCATGACCTGAAGTCAGATGCTCAACCAATTGAGCCACCCAGGCGCCCCGGTTATGTATTTCAAATAGTCATGAAACTCAAACAGTGTGCACCGTCAACAGTTGCACGGCTATACCAGTTGGACAAATTTTTAAGTAGTCAAAATCCAGCTACATTGTCAATGCTTCGTAGTAAAATCAGTGGTATCCCGACCCCTAAATGGGAAGGCTTTTTCAATTACATTGTTGACTTGTCCTTTACATGATAAAAACTTAAGTTCTAGATAGTATTTAATAGAACTCAATGCTCTGAAAGGTTATTTCTCCACACATTAGTACATGGGCTTCAAGCATACTGATTACTATAAAACCAAGCTCATGTTTCATTTAAGCCACAGCTGAGGGAAATTCAGAGAGGAGCATAAATGAAGGTATTTGTAATTTAAATGGACATTTGAAATAGTATTTTAAAAATCAACGCAATGTTCAACTCAGTAACAGTGAATTGTTTTGTTAAAGCCGAGTTCTCTTTGATACTTGCACTAACATCTGACTCTGGAGATGCTAGCAGTGCCCGGCACATGGTATATGCCCAGAAACTTGTTTGTTAAAAATGACCTTCACTCAGAATCAGCTCACAGGTTACTGGGGCTTTGACCTGAGCAGACAACAGCATCACACAACTGCATTACATACATATAAAAGTGAGAAAACCGAGTGTGGCTAACACAGTGATGAGCTGTGTTTATTCTATTGTTGCAGGAAAGCACAGCTTTCAGTTTTACCAAAAATAATAGTAGGAGAAGGAGAGAGGACAGACCTTCCAAGACCTGTGTGACACATATATCAATATAGCAGTGTGGACGTCTGCATTTTCTCAAGTATGAAAAATAATCTGACACCAGTCAGCATCTCTGCTCGGATTACCAATTAATGTAGGGGCAAAAGGAAGGTCAAGAGAAAATGAGACAATTTTGGGAAATGTGAATCTACCAGGGCAATGATTACTGTTGAGAAGCTGATTATAAAGTGTCTACCTTTTCCCATCATGTACATTTTGCAAATCACTTCCCCAAATCAGACTGTCAAGATTAGAGATCCTGCCTGAGAATTTTGCAAAAACTCTACATGATTTCTTCTCTGGAAAGAAATTCATCAACATAAATTGACTAAAAACTTCTTTTTTTTTTTTTTTTTTTTGCTTTTCCAACATGGTGAAATTTTGGTTACATAGTTAATTAAACATTTTAATGAAAACAGGGAAACACAAAATGATTCCACAACTAGGGTCTGAAGGTATTCTTATTCTCTGTGAAAACTAAACTGGAGCCTGGGTGCCTCAGTCAATTTTAAGTGTCCAACTCTTGGTTTCGCCTCAGATGATGATCCCAGGTTGTGGAACTTAGACCCACGTCAGGCTTTGCGCTGAAAGCATGGGGCCTGCTAGGGATATCCTCCCTCTCTCTCTCTCTCTCTCTCTCTCAAAATAAATAAACGTAAAAAAAAAAAAAAACGATATGGAAATTAATGTAACGCACGTAAACAAGGTATTTTTACTAAAGTGATTTTGACAATAGTTCACACTATGACTTTTTAGTTAATATGAAAAGGTCAATATGCATATATATATAAAATATACATATAGTTCAAAAATTACCGCCTGCACGATAATGACAACCATGTCAAGCATATCCAATTTTGAAAGAATAAAAGAGACTACACACAAATAAAAATAGTAATTATGTGAGAACAGTGGTAGTATGGGAACATATTTCTTTCTTTTATAACACTATTATATTACTTTTAAAATTAAATTATATTGATTTTGATTTGTTTATACACATAAAACCACTATATCATTTAGAGGTATTAAATAATAGCAAAAGAATATAGTTTCTAGATAACACCACTATGCAGTTTTAAGATTTGTGTAAGTATAAAATCTACATACCTGAGCCAACCTCTTTTTCTTCTTCTTCAATGTTGTTTTTGATGCTATCATATTCCTCATCAATGGTCTGGTTACCACGCATCTGAGATAAGATTCTACGGGCCTTCTGAGTCTGTCCTTTCTGAATCAGCCATCGAGGGCTTTCAGGTAAAAAGAGAAAGCCAAAAAACTGTATAGCTGCTGGAATTGCTGCAAGCCCCAACATGTACCTGTAATAAGAAATCCACACATTACTGTAAAATTTGGACTTACACTAGCACGGAGTATGAAAAAAAGGTTTGTGTTCACCACATTGGAAACAGGATCTAATATTAAATTAGAATGATCTTTTGTGTTTCTGTGTGTGATCAGAAAAAAAAAGAGGATATTTTTATGCTGTAGTGAGAAGCTGAAAAATGAGAAAAATCTGATTCTTCTCTCTCACAAAAATTACAATTAAAAAATGGGCAAAAGTCACAATAATTATATATACGCACTGTGAACCAAACACATCATGCAAAGCACCATGATCACAATCCCTTTCTAACACTAATATACATGATTCTGCATCTTACAATAGAAAAAGGAGCTAAAACAAAATCCTGATGATCTATTTTTTTTTTAATTTTTTTTTCAACGTTTATTCATTTTGGGGACAGAGAGAGACAGAGCATGAACGGGGGAGGGGCAGAGAGAGAGGGAGACACAGAATCGGAAACAGGCTCCAGGCTCTGAACCATCAGCCCAGAGCCCGACGCGGGGCTCGAACTCACGGACCGCGAGATCGTGACCTGGCTGAAGTCGGACGCTCAACCGACTGCGCCACCCAGGCGCCCCTGATAATCTATTTAAAAAGATACACGTTTCATTTTAAAAAATGCCCGAATTTATTTATTTTTGCTCTGTGAATGATTAGTAATGATTTCATTTTGCCATCAAGCTTCATGTTCACCTTCATTAATTAAGGAGAAGCCTATAGCAGAAAAAAAGTCAGAAGCAAATAATTATTATTAAGATGACAGAAATATAGTAAATAAGCAGATCAGTTTAAATCCATCAGGGAAATAACAAAAATAGCAATGTGAGTACATCAATATCAAAGATATCTCCAAAATTATTCTGACCACTAGACTGATCTCCTATTATCTCTTTGATGTTGGACCTCAATCTTTTTGAATGGAGGGGTTAGATTAGATAAACTTCAAGGTCTTCAAAAGGAAACTTCTATGAATCTATGACAGGTGTTATGTTTTCTGTTGATCCAAATTCCCTGGGTATATTTCATGGCAGATTCATGATGGTAGAGCTCAGAGGGCCAATTGTGATTACATAACAACCATACCCACTGATAATCAATCAGATTATCATAAATCAATTAGAAGTCATTTGACTCAATACAGCTTTCAAAGCTATTCCAACTTTTAAGCTGTGTTAAATCCAAAGTGGAGTAAGCAAGCCTTGATGCCTCTAGTAGTATATCTTTGTGAAATAAGTCCATTACTTTTCAAACAAATTCACTTTAATTCCACAAAAAGCAGAGAAAAAAATATAATTGTCACATGGGTGTTAAGAATACCTCTCCCTCCAAGATATTTGCAAATGACATACCTGATAAAGGATTGGTATCCAAAGTTTATAAAGAACTTATCAAACTCAACACCCCCAACACAAACAACCCAGTTAAGAAATGGGCAGAAAACATGACGAAACATTCTTCCAAAGAAGACATACATTCAGATGGCTAACAGACACATCAAAGATGCTGAACATCACTCATCATCATGGAAATACAAATCAAAACTACAATGAGATACCACCTCATACCTGTCAGAAAGGCTAAAATTAAAAACACAGGAAACAACAGTTGTTGGCAAGGATGCAGAGAAAGGGGAACCCTCTTACACTGTTGGTGGGAATGCAATCTGGTGCAGCTACTCTGGAATAGTACAGTGGCTCCTCAAAAAGTTAAAAATAGAACTACCCTACAACATAGCAATCACACTACTAGGTATTTACCCAAAGGATACAAAAATATTGATTCAAAGGGACACATGCACCCCAGTATCTACAGCACCATTATCAACAACAGCCAAATTACAGCAAGAGTCCAAATGTCCATCAACTGATAGATAAAAATATATACATATACAAAGGAATATTACTCAGTCATTAAAAGGAATGAAATCTTCCCATTTGAATGATATGGGTGGAGCTAGAGTGTATTATGCTAAGTGAAATAATTCAGGGAAAGACAAATACCGTATGATTTCAAATATGTGAAATTTAAGAAACAAAACAGATGAACACAGTGGGAAAAAGAGAGAAGCAAACCATGAAACAGACTTAACAAAGAGAACAAACTGAGGTTTGCTGGAGAGGAGGTGAGTGGGGGGTAGGTTAAATGGGTGATGTGTATTAAGGAGGGCATTTGTGATGAGGACTAGGTGTTGTGTGTAAATGAATCACTGAAACTAATATTACACTTTATATTAACTAATATTTAAATAACAACTTGAAACAAAACAAAAAACATCTCTCATTCCAAACAGCAGCTAAAACTACACACGGAATGAGAAAACTTTTAAGATTTTTTAAAGTAAACAAAGTTTTTATAATGACTAATGAATCACTTGGCCTTCAGTATTAAATAAAGTCTTATTAATCCATTAATCTTATTTTAATCCATGGGCTGTGATAATTATACCAACATTTCATCATTCCTTACTATGGTAACCTACAGAACACAGTGTTTTAACATCCATTTATGTCTCTGTACCTTGTTTTATAATAAATTATTTGCCTGTCCCACCTGATTGTGTATTTAACTTTGCATTCGATAAAGCACCTAATAAAATATCTTGCACACAGTAGGCACTTAGTAAATATTTTGTGAAATGTTACAAAAACAGCTATTCATCTAAACTTTCTGTATTAACTAGACAGAAAATAAGTATAGTTCACATTCGCAAAAAAGTTCATGTAGCAATTCTGGATCAGTTAGCTCTGTAAACTTAGTTGCACAGTAATTCCTTCCAATGAACCATTTTGTTATTCCAGATACAATCAGACCTTTTCTGAAGAAGACGTCTCATTTGAAGAAGACTTCTGAAGAGTCTTCAGATGAGTGCTGAGATCAGTTTACACAAATGTGTACTTGTGGCAGCTTCCCCTTAGACGTTACCTTTTATAACCAAATCTGTTATTCTAATGTATGTTTTATTGCTGTAAATGAATGACATTTTTATTTGCTTGTGTTCTCTCTTGAAGAAAAATTTATATACAATTGTATTGCCAATTACTGCCAATTACATAAAAGAAAAGCAATAAAAGGCAAACATAAATATATTGGATTAGGAAATAAATTTAAAAATCCTCAAAATGGAAGCCTTCATGTGTCATTTGTCTACACCTTTCATGAGTTTTCCTTCTTTTCTCCAAACTCCTTAATGATGCATTAAGATTACAGAGCTACAGAGAATACTTCAAAGCAGCCCTTGAAATGAATATAGAAACTGAACCATTTTCAGGCCCAATGATGCTCACAGAATACTGTGTATTTTACTACTCACTATTTAATCCTAGGACACAGTATTTTTAAAAACTGAAAGGAAAAAGAGAAGGAAAGAAAACAGAAAACACAAAAAGAAAATTGCAAACATACATATTAGCCTATGTTTCTAAACCAAGCTATGGAAGACAGAATACTTGGGCTCTCCAGTCCTTTAAAATATAAGGGTTATGATCTGAAATATACATTTCAATGCCCTAACACTAAGGTGGGTGGCACTCATCTGCCAACTTTTGAAGGATATTAAAGCCTGGTTGGTTCCAGAGACTAGGCAAAATAAAACATTTTTTATACATGTACAACCTAACGCTTCACTTCTAGAAGTGAAACAAAGGAGATTATTTTACTATATTTTATTTATCTTCCATGATGTAGAGGAATAGAATATGCCCCCCAAAATGGGTCTCTCTGGCATAAGGATTATCTTGGACTGATTATTTTTAACAAATTGCAGGCACAGAGAAAGCTTTGAAAACCATACAGAAGTCACCCTTTTGTAGGAGACATTTACATTTACAATCTCTACTTGTAAGGGTGTCTCCCTCTGTGCCAGTAAGAGGGGGATGACTCAGTCTCCAGAATTCTTATCAGCGGAGAAGGCAAAACTTAAATCTGCATTACAAACTTACCCCTGTTCATGCTGTTTTCCTGATAACCTGTCTAAACTGACTTCCCATCTCCACCCAACATCATCTTTTGTCTTTAGATGAAGATGGTATTTAGAGTGATGGCTTTGGCCATTTCAGGGAGTTACTCAGTTTTACCTGGGTCTCTCCCATACATACAGGAAGTACAGGTCATTAAACTTTTGTTTTTCTCTTGTTAAGTGGTCTCACATGAATTTAATTCTTAGACCAGGCAGAAGAACTCAGAAGGTCTGAGGAAATTTTTTCCTCCCAAACACTGACAAAAGTATTTTGATAGTAATAAATTTCCAAAGCTTTGTAAAGACCAAATACAAAATGTGTGTGTGTGGGGGGGGGGGGGGGAGGTAGCTGTTGTTTATGATGGAAAGAGCATAGGAACAGACCTGGGTTGCATTCAGTTCTGGACATACTAACCACAAAACCCTGGTCAAATTATTTAGTATTTTAATGCACAGGTAACAGTGTCTATTTCATAGGACATCTGGGATAATTAAGTGAAATTATACAGATGGTACCTAGAATGGTGAAGAATCTCAGCAAAAAAAAAAAATTTTTTTTATCTAGATAGATAGATAAATTGATCTATATAGATAGATCAATAGATCTATAGATGGATCGATATAGAGATAGATATAGAGATAGATATATAAAGAAATTTACCTCCCTGACTCCCTCACCTCTCAATCAATTCAATGTAACTTGTCTTTCCTGGCTGTATCATCCACACAAATATCCAGTAGGTAGAACTAACCAATTTCTTTCCCGAGGAAAACTGTTGCTCTGTTGATGCGCACACTGGAGAATAGGAAAAATAAGGGATTGTTTTTGCTGTGTTACTGATAAAAATTTTATGAGATTAAAAAAGCAGGAACTCTCTAGGCTCAGTTAAGGCAGTATGTATTCAGAACTCACCATGAGTCCTCTAAATCCAAGGGAATAGGGAACCAGATAAATGACAGAGAATGTACCAATAAGACAGTCTACTGATAAACCAGGGCAGTCAACCCCCAAACAA